GAGACTGCTGCCCCCGTGACCTGGCAACGGATAAGCGAATGAAAATGGATGGATGGATTTCTTGAAATATGAAAATGATTTAATTTGTGGTAGTAAGAAATTAGTGAAATAAATTATTCTGTCAGTTTTTGAGCATTTTAGGTAAATTAACATTTTTATATTTACGTGATCAATGTAATATTTTGTGTCATAATAATGACTTTTTACATTGGTGGTGTTAGATTTCAGTGGTTTTCACATTTGGTTGGGTCTGCAGCAGGAAGCTGATAAGACACCAAAAGGCTTTCCCGAGCACACACAGTCACATAGCCCCACACATTCAAAGAGAATTTTCCCAAATTCTTTTCACACCAACTTTCTAAAACACCTCTACTCCCTGGGAACAATGGGAGATCTCCCAATCTACCTTCTCACAGGGAACCTCGAAGCCATCCATTCCTTTTGATCTACATGACCACCTGTGGTTGACTGGACTTTATGGCTGGGTCCACTTCCCTTGTGATAACCCCCCACTCAGCAACAAAGGTTCTTCCAACACTGCTGAATCATGGAACAAGAGTGCCACATAGTGGCGACTGCAGGCATCACATGATACAAGAACAATAATATGATTGGCCACAAGAGGCCTAGCCTCTCTCTTCCATTGGCCTACAAGATTTAAACACACACCCGGGAAGTCGAAAACCACTCCCCCCACACAGGTATATAAGCATAAACAACTAACAATACTGTAGAAGTTATTCTTGAGAAGTTAGAAGTTATTCTTGAGAAGTCAGAAGTTATTCTTGACAGGATTTGCGTATTAACTACTGTTGTACGAGATTTCCTTTAATACTTCTCCAGTCGTTTATTTTGCTTTATTGTTGGACCTGTTTTGTTTGACGTTTGTTATTAAAACAAATCGACCATCTACCGGCTGCTTCCACTCCTTGCCAGAAGACACCTCACACAGCAAGAATCTTTCAGTGGGAAATGTGATACTAAAGGCCATACCTTTGTCATTGATGTTATTGTTTGATTTTTACATATACTGTCTCTGTATGATTTTTTAGGACGTTAATTGTTTTTTAATCTAAAGTGAGACATCTGCTGTGATTTACACATGCATATGAGACAAGAAAAAACATGTTTTTCCAGTGAGAGATAAGTTCAACATTTAGCCTTAGTCTTTTGGCCCATTTAGATAACACTGCCTCCCACACAGGTGCAATGAAGATTATGTAGAAAGAGCAAACTTGTGATGTTTTTTTTTTTTTTTTTTTTTTTTTTATGAAATTAGTTGATGATGGAAAATAGGCAAAAGTGCAAAGTACATAAGTTCTATCAAGTTTTGATTGTTTTCATCACATTATAGAACATGTCTGAACCTCTACAGCTAAACTGCTCCATGTTTTCCCAATACAAGGAGTGCAGCAGCCCTATCAGCGAGTCACACTGATAGACTGAAGTTTTCAGTCAGCAGTGAGCACAGTTTGTATTTCTCCAGTCTCTGTGACTGAAGCCTCAGCAGTAAACAGTCCACAGAGACATACTGTATGTGTGGCCTGAGAACCCAGCACCAGCCTGAGGTCATCACAGGGCACTTCTACTTTGTCGTTTCTATCACTCAGAACACCTCAGCCATATAGGGTGAGGATGAGCCTCATGTCAAACAGACAAACTGATGGAAAAATAGTCATTAAGAGTAGGACCAACCAGTCACAGAGTGAGGGAGAGGGAAAAGACACAAAAAATACACACACACAGGACTGCAGATTGGCCAGACATGTTAACCCTGGGGCATTATTTGGCACCCCTGCCCCACTGTGCCCTCCTCCTCATATGTCGCTCTGCCAGGTGGTCTCCCAGCACACATCCACACGGACCTTGCTGTAACTGTTCTAGGCCCAAAAATAACCTCTTGCGAGGGGATGAGAGAAGAGAAGATCAATATCAATGTCAGGGTTGACTTCCTGCAGACTAACTTATTATTGGTGTCATTTGTTAACCAACTGCACTGAGCTATTTAAGACCAGGTTATTTACACAGTAACAAAACAAATGTATCATGTTTGGCCTGATACATGAACTAATCAGTTAACCACTAAAGGATCATAATTCTTCTTCAGTCTGCTGTTGTCAGCTGTCTAACAGATTTCTGCCAAATATGAGCGTTCTCCCTTGAGATCAAAAACAGATCTCATATCTCTCAGATCTAACTTCACATTTTTAACAATGTTTTACTTAATTTTGACAAAAAATGCAAGAAAATAGAACAGAATGTCCATCATTAATCGATCACTAGAAGTGAAAAGTAACTTGCAGGGACTTTTCCCTATGCCTGTATTTTCTCTTTCTGACAGTGGTTTCTTTTGAAGGTAGAAAATCAATTTAAAACAGGGGTGTCAAACTCATTTTCATTCAGGGGGCATACAAACTAATTACATGTCAAGTGGGCCAGACCAGTGCAATCATTATAATTTATAAATTACAATACGTCCAAGTTTTTCCCCTTTGTTTTCATTCAAAGAAGTATAAGTATATTAGATATGTATGAGTATTTATTCATTTTTAATGAAATAATAATAGTATTACAAAACTATCCTGAAAAGGAAGTGTTTTCAAAATTCATTAAGTGGGCATGGTTGAACATCCTAGCGGGCCAGTTTTGGATTTAAAAAGTGCCAGTACTACAACACTAAAGATTCCAGCTAGTTAGGTAGTTAAGTGTCATGAAATGTGGGGCAGGATCATATCACAGCCCAGTAGTAGCGTAAGTTTTAACTAAGTCAAAATTATCCCAAAAGAAAATCTACTATATAATGCACAAAACAAAATCTCACCCAATTTTTGTTCATCTCTGTATAAAAGCATTTTCTTTTCTCTTTTTTAAATTTAATCAACACTAATGCGGGCAGTGGTGGCTTAGTGGTTAAGGAAGTGAGCTTGGGTCCAGACGGTTTGAGTCCACCAGCTGCCAAGTTACTGAGGTGCTCTGAGCATGGCACCATCCCCACACACTTCTCCCTGGGCGCTTAAAGCTGCACACTGTTCACTTTGATGATGGGTTAAAAGCAGAGGTCACATTTCATTGTGTGCTGTGTCACAATGACAAGTAGTTCACCTTTCTTCCTTTCCTTCCTTCCTGTTGTTGTTTTCTTAACCTAACTAAGCCTCAAAGATTTTTAACTTTCTTCTCATTATTGTACCCTGAACAAAATCCTAGTGGTAATGGTGACATTGACAGGGGTGCACAGCTACACACAACACCTAGCAGTTGCCTTTATTACCCAAAGTGGGGAGTGGTCCATTGGTTAGTTCTGCTTTAAAGAACTGCTGCATCCCATGAGTCTAAATGTGAGTATTTTAATAAATCTTTTAATAAAGCGTTCAGTCACTCACCTTGAGAATTCAAACTGCATTTATAGCAACCCCTAAAGGTGAAGATGTAAAGCAACCTGCCATTTTGTCAAAACCCACTAATAAAAGTGTCCACATACTCCTCAATTTGTAAATTATGAATGAATAATTGTCCATCTTGTCAATCTGGATTTGTGTTTGATAAACCCTGCAAATCCACACTGAGTCTGAGAAGACACTGCAAGATGCAGTCAGACTTTTAGAGACAGGTCAAGCTGCAATCTGACCCTGTTTATGAATAGTATAGAGGCCAAAATAGAGAGATCCATTAAAAATGAATGAAAATGCAGTGCGCAAGGTGTGATTAAAGTGTCAATTAACTGTTGACATTTAAACATCCAAGCCAGACTCTCATAAATGAGAGCATTAACAGTTTGTGGTCGGTGTGAGTCGGCGCTGGAGTAAGAGAAACAGCTTTGTTAAAGTGTTTACACAGTACACTTACATATACTGTATATGATTAATTAATAAGGTTTTAAATGTATCTATGTAACTACAAGAAGAAAAATATTAACTTAGAGTTTTAATGTATTTTATTCTAGTAGATGTTAGCAGATCTCGAGCTAATCCAGGATAGACCAGAGCAGGTCACTAGTCATTTACCCCACATGTTAATACCTCCACCACCGCCACATAAAATGTCCAATTTTATGTGGTGGTGGTGGTCATAACATTGAAATTCTTGCTGAGCAAATTATTTCTTTGTTACCTGATAATGACATAGAAAGAGAGGAAATATAAATCTGCTGCATGACAGCAGGACACCATGTGAAAGGACATAATGCAGATGGTGGTCATAACACTTTTACCCTGTTTTACTGCAAAGTGTTTTGGCATATTTACTTTCGCAAGCATCTTCACTGATGTCAGTTGCGGTCTACACAAAAACAGTCCTTCGCAGCGTGATACATTTTCTGCTTTGTAATGTCCTGTACTATGACCTCCCGGCAGGTACATGAGGAAGGCTCAAATGACTAGGGGCAATCATTAGAAAACTACTCTCCTTTCTCTGTTGCAGCTCATTTTTGCTTCACAGGAATCCAATAAATTCGCCATAGATCCATATACCCATTACAGACATTTCACTGTCCGTCACTGACCAACCTAAATCAACTCTCTCGTTTTGATAAAGATAAAGGTTCAAGCAGATAAAAAAGGAGGAGACTAGCTTAGCTTCCGTTCTTCTTCATATGGCTCACATACAAGTCATGTATTTCGCTGGGTATTTTTGCAGCTGTGCAAGTTTAATGCCAGAATCACCCAAACAAAGAATCCCAGCATTGTCTATGATGTGCTGCCAGTCTGGCTCCAGCTGCCATCATGGCAGTGGCAAAAGCTGGCAAAAAGAATAATTGTCCCATGTGAGATTTTGAGTCTTTGAACATGAATGGCTTGTAGATGAAAGTTATTCAATACTTTAATGTATCTTTTTGAAATGTACAAACTGACCTAGAACAATTCCTGCTCCCCTGACAAACTTTCCAAATTTGAATTTGCTTCTGTTCCCTCCCGGAGTGTTTGAATGACTACTCCTACTCCTTATAGTGCGTGAACAAGCTCATGTCCATCCGTGTGTGTGTGTGAGTGAGTGAATGTTCTTACCACAGTAAGGCAGGTTCAGTCTGGACAACAGCTTGCGGGCTCCTCCGTCCTCAATGCAGCGTAGATCCTGAGTGTCTGCTTCCTCCCCTAACCACAGTTTGATCCACATGTTCTCACAGGAACAGTGTAAAGGGTTCCCTGACAGGGTTCTTTACATACATATAGAGGGAGAGCACAGATTTAGTCAAGAAGAGCTGTTGGCATACAGAAAAAAAGAGAAAAAAAATCATAGCTATGGCTTAAATTTGTCAACTGTGAAAAATCTTCCTTTTTCCTTTGCTGCTAGGCTTGGAGGAGAAGAATGACAGATTCACAGTGTCACTCTGTTCAGCCTAACATTGTAGAAAAGATAAAACTAGGGGTACAAGGAAAAGTACCTGCAGGAATTCTCTAAAAAATAACTCATTGAATCATACAGAGTATTCCTCTCAGTCATTTTAATAAGGCTGTATTTGCGAAACAAATGTTCTACGTTTTGCTTTATCACTCTCTCCTAATTGATCTAGTGCAGTGGGTGATATGGCTCATAGGTTTACATTCATTTCCATACAGTACGAAACAGCCAATCACAGCAAGCTCTGGTGCTTATCTGTCCCCTTCAATCTTACTGCCTGGGTTTTAAACTGAAGAAATAATTAATTCTTGGCTGCAGGGAAGCCTGAGATTGTGGGGCAGCAGCAGTGGCAAAGCTAAACCTACATCATCCTATCAGGAAGCTACAAGTGACATCACAGGTGCTACACATGCTATAGACCTGAGCAGAAAGAGATGAGAGTGACCCAGACAGAGAACCAGAGAAAGGCAGATAAACCTGGGCAGAGACAGACCCAGGGAAAATGGCAGCAGCAGAAAAACTCACAGATAAGAGATGTTGAGGTGCTTGAATGGTCTCCAGGTCAGTGATGACAGGTTGTTATCTTTAAGGTTCCTGTAAAGGACACTGGATGTCAGAAAATAGAACTGCATTTTTATTCCCACAGAAAAATGTTAGGATACAGACAACAGACGTCCTGCACATGTAACTCCACGCATTATTATCTGATGAGAATAATGAGCATCAAATGACCATCAAAGGAAGTATGGAAGTACTTAGGAAAAGTGGTGGTAGATTTCCTGACTAGGTTGTTTAACAGAATTTTAGAGACTGACAAGATGCCTGATGAGTGGAGGAAAAGTGTCCTGGTGCCAATTTATAAGAAGGGTGATGTGCAGAGTTGTAACAACTACAGAGGGATAAAGTTGATGAGCCATACGATGAAGATTTGGGAAAGAGGAGTTGAAGCTAGGTTGAGGCAGGAAGTGGAGATTTGTGAACAACAGTATGGTTTCATGCCTAGGAAGAGTACCACAGATGCAATATTTGCCTTGAGGATGCTGATGGAGAAGTACAGAGAAGGTCAGAAGGAGCTACATTGTGTATTTGTAGATTTAGAAAAGGCATATGACAAAGTGCCAAGGGAGGAATTGTGGTTTTGTATGAGGAAGTCAGGAGTGGCAGAGAAGTATGTTAGTTTGGTGCAGGACATGTATGAGAATAGTACAACAGTAGTGAGGTGCGCTGTTGGGAGGACAGAAGACTTCAAAGTGGAGGTGGGACTACATCAAGGATCGGCCCTGAGCCCCTTCTTGTTTGCTGTGGTGATGGACAGATTGACAGATGAGGTCAGACAGGAGTCCCCATGGACTATGATGTTTGCAGATGACATTGTGATCTGTAGTGAGAGTAGGCAGCAGCTAGAAGAGAACCTAGAGAGGTGGAGGTTTGCACTAGAAAGAAGAGGAATGAAGGTCAGTCGCAGCAAGACAGAGTACATGTGTGTAAACGAAAGGCAGAACAGTGAAATAGTGAGGCTACAAGGAGCAGAGGTGGTGAAGGTGCAGGAGTTTAGGTACTTAGGATCAACTGTTCAGAGCAGCGGAGACTGTGGAAGAGAGGTGAAGAATAGAGTACAGGCAGGATGGAACAGCTGGAGAAAAGTGTCAGGAGTGATCGGTGGCAGAAGAGTGTCAGCTAAGGTGAAGGGAAAGGTTTACAGGACAGTGGTGAGACCAGCCATGATGTATGGTTTAGAGACAGTAGCAATAGGCAGAAGACAGGAGGAGGAGCTGGAGGTGGCAGAGTTAAAGATGCTAAGATTCTCTTTAGGAGTGACAAGAATGGACAGGGTCAGGAATGAGGTCATTAGAGGGACAACACAGACAGGAAGGTTTGGAGAAAAAGCTAGAGAAGCCAGATTGAGATGGTTATGACCACTATTTGTCATTGGGTTACTCTTTATTCTATTGTAGTGTGTGTTAGACAATTTATTTATAGTACGTTTGTAATATATAGAATAACACGTGGCTGTAAGCGCATCAATAGAACGCTGTGTAGCAGTATTTATAGAAAGAGTGTGTGTTGAATTTTCACTTACAGGTACTGTAACTTGATGTTGTCCAGAAAAGCCAGCTTTGATACGTATGTGAGCCTGCTGTTGGTCACCGTCCTGAGAGAGATTTACACACAGAAATCAGCGTATCACAATGACCAGAACAGTAATTACAGACAACATTACTGCAACAACAGCAAAAACGTATATTGTTGCTTCGAGCATCATCTTGTGCAATCTCCTTCAATCTCCTCCTCACAAGTCTAAAGCATCCCAATCATCCCAAGTAACCAAAACTGCACAACCTCAGCTCTGCCTCCAAAGTGCACTGGTCTTTTTGTCCATCACAAACTACTCAGTGACACAATAACAAAAAACTAAAGAGGAAAGGGTGTTAGATGTAAATAATCACACGATGGAAGGGCGGTTAATGCTCTTGCCATACAGCAAGAAGATTACTGCATACATCCAAGGTGGTAACAACTAGTTTGATTCTGTATGGCAGGGTTGACAAACTCATGTTAGTGCAGGACCCACATACAGCCTAATTAGATGTCAGGTGGGCCGGACTAGTGCGATCATAACATAATTACCTATAAATATTAATAAGTCCATGTTTTCCCTTTGTTTTCATGCACATAAGTAGAAATATGTTAGACAGTCTTTGTATTTAATGAAATGTAATGTTGCAAAACATATCATGAACATGAAGTGATTGTCCATTTTTTAATTTTTTAATTCATCTAAAGGGCCAGGTTTATGGGCTGTATGTTTGACACCCCTGCTCTATGGTGTTCCAGGATTTGCTCCAGGTAATCCCTGTTTACTCCCACAGTCTAAAAACATGCAGAATTAGTTTAATTTTTCACAAAGTTGTGAATAGTTGTTTATTTCTGTGTTGTTCCTCTATACTTGGTATTCAAGGACACAACCACCAGGATACTGCAAGACAACAGTTTATTCTTCTTCTCTCTTTTTAGGTATCACCACCTTTTATACAGTGCACCACCCCTGACATAACCCGCCATGACATCTTCCCCTTTTAGGTAAAAGTGTAACTGTTTCTGAACCTTTATGAAAAAGAAATACATCACATAAACTAACAAAAGACAGTTTACACTTAACCCTCCTGTTGTCCTCATATTCTGTATACACCCCTTGTCCTTCGGGTCAAAATGACCCATCTTTACTAAACCCCCAATATAAGCAGCTTAATTGAATTTTAAGCACCAAATCTTATTTTGCTTGAAGAAACAACTCGTCATTCACCACAAAGACTGGCAGAAAGACTGCATTTATACAAGACAACAGTCGTTGCTATGACACTTTCAATTGTATTATTGTTTACTGTATAGGTGGTAAGCAATATTTGTATAGTATTTCTATAGCTTAGGAAAGAATAGAAATGTGCAAAAATGAGTTTTGAATGCAGCCCTAAGTAGGCATGCAGGTCAGTCTCATCCATCCTTTTCCAGCTGTCTCCATATTTGAGAAAACCCTCCAGATTTGTCATTTCCAGGATTATTTTTTCTATTGCTGGTGTGATGAACAGGTAGAATGTTGAGACAATGTCATGGGCATGAGAAACAGCATATCTTGTGGGTCGTGGGGTCATCCTCATGTCATTTTGTTTTGTCGCCCTGCCGTGTTTGTCATATGCTGCCAAGGACCATGTTATTTTGACATTTTTTGAAAGGAAAGTCTCTCTCTCAGCTTCAGGGATTTCTTCTTATTCTGAATCATCATGCTCTGGGTTGTATTCCTTCTTATCTTCTTCTTCTGAATCAGCGAAGTCTTGTTGGACATCTGATAAAATCAGCTCTGGAGCCTGTTCAATGTTACAACGCGCACTCATGGCTTCAGCACAGAGAGAATTCGGGGTACTGTCATCTGCAGCACCTTTATAGCCTCTGGGAGTTCACACAGAGAAAGGGGCAATATTGTTACGTCAGATCGGGTCACAGGCAGTGCAGTCCGCGAGAAGACCACCTGTCTTGTCTTGTTTACGTCTGCTACTGATAGATCTGAGACAGAACTAAAACATTCTCACATTCTGTGGTGTGTAACTAACTCTGTGTGACTGTGATTTCAACTCAATTTGACTGTCGGGTCATTTTGACCCGAAGACAATATTTGTACCTTTTTTGTACAGTTTACATGGAAATATGAATAAAGGTAACAATTCACTTTTTCTAATGCTAGGGTAAATCTAGGAAAAGTCATCAAATTTCAAGTTGAAAAAATATCGTTTAGGGGATTTTTATTTGGTTTTTAACACAGCGGCAGGTCATTTTGACCCAAAGACAACAGAAGGGTTAACTATCCCTTTTGTAGCTTATTAAATAAGAATGTAACTATTTTCTTGAACACTTTATTTCTGAACAACCAATCATCATTTTTTCTTAACTCTCTTGTGTCAGATATTCATAGATTCAGTCTATCAGGAGACTTAGACAGTCTCCCTGACCTAGTGACTGTCCCATGATGAGTCACCATGTCCTGTGGTGTTGGAGGCCTTGGCACTTCCCTGAGGTGTGACCGACTGCGTCACAGCAGTCCTCCATCCTGAGTCTCCACCTCATATAACCATGGTGTTGGTGCCGGACCTACAACTGTCCCTGTAGTGCACATGGGTCTGATCCACACCTGCTGAAGAGACTGCAGAGGTGGCAGTGTTCGAGTGCGGTGTTGTGCCGAGGTATTTCCTTGTAGGCTGCACACCTCAATGTAGCGTGAGAAATAGTCTATTATGACTAAGTAGTGTCCATTCTACCATTGGAAAAGGTCTGCTGCAACCCTCCACCATGGCCTGCTTGGAAGATCAGTCGTGAGCAGAGGTTCCACTGGTGATTCACAGCAGATGTGATGCCTGGCCACCAAACTGACTCCCTTGCTCTGGCAAGACATTTGTTGACACCTTGATGGCCCTGGTGTAGTTTATGCAGGATGTCAGCTCTCATGCTTTCAGGGATTATGAGCCTCTCACCTTTCATAAGCAGTCCTCCTCCATCGTGCAGGACTGACCTTTCAGGCCAATAGGGTAGCAGCAGCTCATGCACATCTCGTCTGTGTGCGGGCCAGCCTTTTGCAATGTAACGACTGAGACGTTTTCATAAGTTGTCTGAGGTTTGTGTTGTCTTAATCTGTTCTAGCTTTGTTGGTGTGACTGGCAGGCTTTCTACAATGCTGTCCGGGTAAGCGTTGCATTCTTTTTCCAGATCTGGCTCTGCCTCTGTGGCTGTGGCTGGAAGCGGTGCTCTGGACAGGGCATCAGGTGTTATCAGGTTTTTACCTGGAATATGGATAATATTGAAACTGAACCTGAGCAGCCGGAGTGAGTCATCTAGTGGTCTGGACTTCAGGAGTGTTATAAGTGGTTTGTGATCAGTTCTTATAGTAAAGTCCAGGCCACTTAAGTATCCCCACAGGGGCTCACAGGCCCAGGTTATAGCTAAAGCCTCTTTCTCTATTTGGGCATATCTTGATTCGGCTTTAGTCAGACTTCTGGAAATGAAGACGACCGGTCTCCACTCACCATCCTACTGTTTTTGTGTCAACACCCCTCCTAGCCCATATGAAGAGGCATCAGCTGAAACCATAGTTTCATGATCTGGACTGTACTGGGCTAACACTGTCTCTGACCCCAGTTCTTTCTTTGTTTCCAGGAATGCTTTCTGTTGGGGTGCTCCCCATGTCCAGCTGTTCTGTGTCTTCAACTGGTCATGGATGGGCTTTGTGAGGTCAGGCAGGCGTGGCGAGAATTTCCCCACAAAATTCACCATGCCCATGAAGCGGCAAACATTGGCCACATCCTGCGGCTCAGGCATGTCAAGGATCGCTTTTATTTTATCTGGGTCTGCTCTGATGCCTTGACTGTTTATGACATGGCCCAGAAAACTGATCTCTGACAGGGCAAACTGGCATTTTTCATTTAGGGTGAGCCCAGCCTCTCTGAATTTATGCAGGACTCTGTGCAGCTTGCCGTCGTGCTCTGCTCGGTCCCTTCCTGTGACAAGGACATAATCAGCATGACACAAGACTCCATCAATGCCATCAATCAGCTGAGAAATCCTGTTTTGGAAATGTTCGGGAGCTGATGATATACCAAAGGGTAGCCACTTGAAGTAGTATCGGCCCTTTGGTGTGATGAATGTGGTCAACAGCATTGAGTCTTTATGGAGTGGTACCTGCCAGAAGCCTGATGTAGCGTCCAGCTTTGTGAAAACTCTGGCCCCTTCCAGCTTGGCTAAAGTCTCATCCACCACCGGTAAGATATGTCTCTTTCTGAGGATGCTCTCGTTCAGATGGGTTAAGTCCACGCAGATCCGCATTTTCCCTGACGGTTTCACGATAGGGACCATGCCTGCACACCATTCTGTTGGTTCCTCAACACGGGCTATGACCCCCATCTCCTCCATTCAGTCTAATTCCTCTTTGACTTTGGTTCGAAGGGGGATAGCTACTCATCTTGGGGCAGAGAGGGCATAGGGAGTTGCATTTTCTTTCAGTTTAATTTTATATTCACCTTCCAATATACCTCGCCCTTTAAAAACATCCAGGCAGGTTGAACGGAATAGTGACTCTGAGTCATCTATGCTATAGAGCTGAGGGATCATATGTAGTCTGCGGATTGCAGGGAGGCACAATAAAGGTATCGTCCGGTCTTTGACGATGAACACCTCCTCCTCAATCTTTCTATCTCCTCTCTGGATGACAGCATGCACTTTTACCTCCAGTGGTTGGTTCCCACACTGTTTTGACTTGATTGATGTAGGCTGAGACTGAGCATGACTTACACGTTGAGCAGACTTCTTCCTATAAATTTGTCTCTTACTTTTGTGGGCTGTAGCTACATCTAGATTTGGATTGAGCTGTAGTCTTTCAGACAGTTTTGCATCACGTATGCCGACCACAATCCTATCTCAGATCATCTCCTCTCGTAGGACGCCATAGCTGCAGTGTTCTGCCAACTTGTGCACTGCGGTGATGAAATTCTCTGCAGACTCGCGGACTTCCTGACATCTTTTATTGAACTTAGCTCTTTCAAAAATAACATTATGCACTCCCACAAAGTGTTGATCAAAAGCCTATTTCACCTCATCATAGTTATTTTGTTT